TATTTTATTTAATATCTCTAAAGTTTATGTAGTTATTTGCAAAATGACTTCGACCATTTCTTTCAGTTTAATGTTTTTTCTGCATTTTTTGTTATCGGTTGCATCAGTCTCTATATAATAGAGAATATTATGAAATAAAAGAATATTCACAATTTGCGCAAAATTGCTTAAACGAATTTCAATTTTACATATAATAAGAAAAATATATATGATGATGGTATATTATAATATAATATGTATAATATATATATATATATATATATATATATATATATATATATATATATATTAATATAATAAAATTTAATAATTTACTTTATTATTATTATTATTATATAAAGATAAATTTTTTATTAATATTATCAATAATATAATTTTCAATTCTCCTCAAATATTGTTGCAACATTGCAAAATATTGTACTTTTTGTTCAATGTATATTCAATATTGCAGCTATATCTTCTAATTAATGTTGAAAAATCAATATAAATTTCATTCAGAAAAAATATTTGCACTTCTGTCTTCAACGTTGTAACGTCTCATCAATATTTTTTTCAACGTTTTGTGCTATATAGCAATTGGTCAACTTTAATCGTTTATAATTTGAAAAATTATATTATAGCCTCAACATTTGCATTAGGAGTTTTTTCTCAAATTACCTCAAGAGTCTGCCCTTAAGATGTAATGTAGTAGTGGCGTGACATCTTGTATATGTATATGTACATATATATACAAGGTGAGCCAAAAGTCTGGATACACCAAAATATGTAATAAACGATGCATTTTATAAAAAAATGTTTCCGATAAAAGTTATAAGGCTTAAAAAGTCGCAATCAACGACAGTAGTTATTTGATCTAGGATGGCGTCGCCAAGGTCAGGACAAGGTCAACTTTGCTTTTTTAAATAGAAACATGTATTTTTTTATTACAGCATTTTATTAAATGTAAAGAGACAAATAACTTTTGCTTGAAAAAATTTTTTATACGACCTTTATTTTCTAAGATATTTACGTAAATATCTACAAAATTATTGGTTTCAATAATTTTTTACTTGAATTTTATTAACTTTACCAAAAAATATCAAGAGATAAAAATTGTTTATTTTGTCCTCATAGAGCTCTGAGAATTTTTTCAGAATTTTATATTAACTTTTTAGTACTACATTTTCTTACATTTTCTTGAAGTACTAAAAAGTTAACACAAAATTCTGAAAAAATTCTCAGAGCTCTATGAAAATAAAATAAACAATTTTTATCTCTTGATATTTTTCGGTAAAGTTGATAGAATTCAAGTAAAAAATTGTTGAAACCAATAATTTTATAGATATTTACGTAAATATCTTAGAAAATAGAGGTCGTATAAAAAATTTTTTCAATTAAAAGTTGTTCGCTTTTTTATGTAGAATATAATACTGTAATAAAAAATATGTGTTTCTATTTAAAACAGCAAAGTTGACCTTGGCGACGCCATCCTATGTCAAATAACTATTATCGTTGGATGCATTTTTTTTAAGCCTTACAACTA